AGACAATTATTGTAATTTTGCCTCTACACACCACCACAGTAATTTACAGCCATATTTACAGGCAACACTCAGAGTCCAGCCCAGAGAGGCTCAGATATAACCAGACAACTGCCTGGTAATCCGTTTCAAATGTGAGGTAATAAGCAGTATTATCTGATTACAGCTGCACTAAACACAGATCGGAAGTATTTTTATCTACAGCTAAGAACTGATGCAAAAATAGACTTCAGTGTTAGTGACCAAGACATTCTGTAACAGCAGCTTTTAGATTCCAGTGGCTCCAAAAACTGCTGCCTTTGACAGGTTAACACAACATTATAAAATAAATAAATGCAGTTCTCCCCGAATAATCTGTTACTTTAGCAAAACTGAGAAAGTGTGCGTTTCACTCACATAGCTCATGTTTAATCTCACCGTGAGGCTTCTGACAGTATAAAAATACAACAGCAACACCTAGTGGGCCACTGAGGAACTGTGCATAGTATTAAAAACAAGAAGATGTTAGGATATTAGATTGCATTTAAAAGTAATAAACTCATAATGAAGGCAACAAGCAGGTCAGTTTTCTCCTGTAGTCTAGTACTGCACTAGTACAGCTTGGTAATCAGGAAAGTGAGTTTTGACTCCTGGGAAACCTCGGTTCCTAAAGTTCAGGTGGATGTAACTGAGACACACCAGCTACCGATCAGCTGTTGGCAAAGACACTTGCTGACGCCAGCAGGACAGTGCACCCCACCATACCACAAAACTAGTCAGGAACATGACAAACGGTCCGAGATGTTGGCCCGGTCCCCAAACTCCCCAGATCCCAATCCGAGCCAGGATGTTTGAAAAACAACCCCAGGGACCCAATGTCTCCATTCCCCCTGGAGTCCCACGTCCATGCCCCGAGGGCCAGAGCAGTGTTGGCACCATGAGAGGGGACCTACATAATATTAGACAGGTGGATCTAATGTGGTGATTGAGACATGTGATCACCCTCACACTCATGTTGGTTTCACTTCATTCATGTCACATGTTCAGCTACAGTCATTATAATGAATGTCACTGTTTACTTTCACCATGCCCTCCATCCTGCCAGTTATATTCATGTTTATTAAGCTTGCTGTAATGACTCAGAGCATCATGAAAGCAACAGGTGCAGTCAGTGAATCAGTAATGGTTCATGCAATAATATAAAGCTACAGTTAGTAGTCAGGCTGGTAGGAAGTAGAGGAAAGTTCAGGTTTAAGCACCACACCCACAATCCTCTGACTCATCTTGTTAACATGCTGAAAAACCTGCTATATATGTATACACAACCCCAGCCCTCCTCACTGTGAGGCCTTAGAGTGGTGCTGCACCTTTAAGGAGAAACAACTCACACGCTTGGACACATAATTCCAGTCCTAGTTATCACAGCAGGTATTGTCATAT